TATATCTATTAAAATACTGATATTCTGGTCTATAACTCCTCTCTGAACTTCCCTCTGTCCTGTATCTTGGTCTTTCATTGGCTGTAGCTCATCGCCGATGTAGTTTTCAGTCAGAAACCATTGCACACAGCGAGATTGTGAATCGCCGACAGCTCTAGATATTTAGCATGCCAAATATTTCACGGGCGTCTGCGACCTGTCGGCGATTCCCTCAGATCGCGTCTTTGATAATTCACACTGCGTGATTGTCACTCGCGTGAATGAGCACCGATTTGCCTCCGATGTCGGGCATTTGTCGGCGATTTCGCAAAACCTGTCGGCGAGTGAAAAATCGGGCTAATATTGTGCAGTGTGAACTCGGCATAAAGCTACTCTAAAGTAGTCAGTCATTTTATGCCAAAATTCTGGTCTGATGAAGGTCATGCGACCGAAATGTTATTAAACCATTTTGATACTTTTGCACTAATTGACAGTGTGCAGGAATTGTTTTCTTTCTCCTTGAGTTTTGATCTTTGTGGTCTTTGTTTCCTACACACCTATCGATTGCCGTCAGGTGTGCAGAGATTGATTGTTAAATGCCAAAATTCTTAAAATGTTCAAGATTTTCAAGAAAAGCACAACAGAAATTCTCTTGTAATGCATGTGTCCACTGTTGGACATTTGTAAGCAGACAAAAAAACAAAACAAAACAAAAACCTAGAATGTGAAAAGTGTTTAAAGGAGACATAATATGCCCCTCTTTACAATATGTAATATAAGTATCCCCAGAATGTGTCTGTGAAGTTTCAGCTCAAAATACCCCACAAATCATTTATTATATCATTTTGAAAATGCCTATTTTGAGTGGAAGCAGAAAGCTGTTTTTCGTGCCTGTCTCTTTAAATGCAAATGAAGGTTACGTTAAAAACACACATGAGTTACAAAAAGAGAGAGAACAAGTGCAAATCCTGGAAGTGGCGCTGCGACCTGCCGCTGCCAGAGAGAGCGCCAGCTCTTGCAGTACAAAAACAGTCGGTTATGTCTGTGAAGTTAAACAGCAGGGAAATAAATCGCATGTTTATTTTAGATATGTGTGGCAGCAGCAATATGCAGTAAATAAATCACTGCTGTCTTGTCTCCTCTGAGGCTGGGACTCTAAATAGTGTTCATGGGTAGAAATTTACAGATTAAGGGGCGGTAATATTATAATGAGATCCTTTTGCGATGTCACTAGGGGAGCGAAATCAGAGGAGCTCGTTTTTTCAGAGGCTTGCAGAAAAAGGCTTACCAAAACTAAGTGACTGGGTTAATCTTTCTCACGTTTCCTTGGTTAGTAGATGCACCGGGGACCTGATTATAGCACTTAAAACCTGGAAAAGTCAGATTTTCATGATATGTCACCTTTAAGAGAGTTTATTACTACAAGTCCACATTGCCTCTTCATAACATTCAGCTAAGGTTAAAAGAGTTTGTGCAAAAAGGAACTTGACTTTAAAAGGGTGTGTTTACAGCTAAAGCTATCAGTAATTGGTTCTAAAGAAATTAAATCTGGGTGTTGCTAAAACAGAGTGTTTTCAATGTTCAGAGGAGACAGGGACATGTCTGCATAAGCAGGCACATTAAGTTGGTTCCACTCCTCTCTGAGAAAGATGTGGACAAATATTTTCTAATGGTAAAAAACCTGGCTGTGTCACATCTGATTGCTCAGAACTTAAAAAGCAGCAGAATACATAATTACACATGGACATAATTACAGGGTGCACTAGTCTGGTTATGCTCCCTTATTAATGGCTCTGTTCCCATCATTAATCTAGGGTGTTGTATATGGTTGTCCATTGAATCCTAGACAGGTAATAGAGTGTTAGAAGGTCACTATTTGACCTGCCGGAGGTCGTTTAAAGTTAACAGGTAATAAAACTTTCAGAACTCAAAACCGGTTTTAAAAATAAATGTTTTTGCAGCTTAGTTCAATTTCTTG